TTTCATCATTATAAAAAAAGGTATCACAACATCATTCTTTTTTTATAAATTTATTGTTCTGAACGACTGTTAGCAGGATTCTGTTACCGATTCAGGCAATTTTGCAGTGAGGTTCTACCTAAGATTTTGGCTTTTGATATATTCACCCAATACATTTCTGATCGGCATCAGCTGAGCATCTCTTTATTGATTATTAACGTGAAAATTCGTTTTCAATTTTTTTCACTATAAATTACCTCAAATTAATGAGTAAAACCTCTCGTAGCGTAGTGGTCAGAACACTGGTGCGTAAAGGTTCTATTTTCGGCTAGGGTGTGACAACAGCAACAATTTCTCCTCATTAACTTGAGCTAATTTATAGTGGAAAAAAATTGAAAACGAATTTTCACGTTAATATATAGTATTTAACAACTATTTAATGTCAAAGTGTTTCGTATAGTACCTCCTTATTGAATTTATATTTTTATTATGGGAAAGCAATTTTAATAACAATAATAATTTAATAAAACATCGGAAACGTTACATTTTGTAATTCTGTAGAATACTATGTACCTAATTTCCCTGGAGGAGGTGCGATGAATAGCGACGTAATTCAAACTTTTCGTCCCGAAACATTTACAAACTATATTTTTACGATAGTGGTACAACCCTTCTATAAACCCATTAAAGTTTTTATTTGTCCTGATTCAATTTAGAATACACCGAGTCAGTTTTATGGTTTGCTTTTTATGAAAATAAGGTGGTTACATTTATACGGAAAAGGACACGTTGGCAGTTGAAGTTGTAAAATATTTCATCACGTAGATATACGATATAATGCCACCGGAGCAGAGTTCAGCCCTGGCCTGAATAAATTCGTAACGTGTCGACTTCTCTTTGACGCCATTGTGTGTAGATGTACAACGGCATAGAGCACAGTTTTATANAGCAGAGTTCAGCCCTGGCCTGAATAAATTCGTAACGTGTCGACTTCTCTTTGACGCCATTGTGTGTAGATGTACAACGGCATAGAGCACAGTTTTATATACATACATACGTATATATACACCTATCCTCTACGCGGATGTCCATGTGTGTGTTCGTGAAGTAGTAGAAAAACTAGGTGCGACGTTTCTCTAAGAAAATGTGAACGCGCGGGATGCACTTTGGAATTGCATTGTCTAAAAAGCTGCATCGTAAAGATGCTGGTAAAAACGACCATGTAACTGCGCATCTGCATAAATATACCATTCCTTGAGTGCTGTGCTAAGATAGAGACACAGAGGCGGCGACGCGCGATACCGGGAGACACGACGCGACGCGGTGCGACGTTCGTGTCCCATGTTTATTGTTTCCAATCGCGACTCTAACTTCTGACACCGTATTCTTCTGAAACGATGCAGTTTTTTTGTTTGGGAAAATTTCAGATGAAATGAAAGGATTATTCCCAGTCTGCTATCGCGCATCCCCTTCTATTTTATGTTTGCATGCACGTAGAGGGATGAAAAGCTAACGTGATGTTGGCGGTGGTTGTACCGGAGGTAACCTTGTTCTAATTCGCTAGACGGTTTCTTTGTTCTACGTAGAAAGCAGGACCAAGATGCCATCGCAGCGACCATTGAAACTGCGCTTTCTGAATAAAACTTTTCAGCCTTCATCCCTTTATTATATGTACACTTAAATGGGTGTTTACTTTCGCTATTGCTAGAAATGGAAATGAGAAAGGAAAATTGCATTCGTCATTTATACTCAATGTAGGTACCTATCCACAAAATTCGTACGTGCAATGGATTCTCTTGCAAGCGGAAAATTAAATTACATTTCTTTAAAACAGGAAAATTTCATTTGCATAAACCAGAAGAACAGAGCGACGAAAACAAAGCCGAGTTTTCCAAATTATGAATCGATATGAATTTTTCTTAGAAAAATATTAACCTACCTACATACCCGAGATAAAAATGTTCAGTCTCTCAGAGTCTCTGAAAGCGAGACTCGAGTTTCGGTCTCTCTGGTGTCGCTGAGAGAGACTGTCAAAAAAACTGTTTAGCGTCTCTGAACGAGAGACTCGAGTCGATCGTAGAGAGATCCTCGTTCCGTATCCAGACTCTGAACGAGAGACTCGAATCTCTGAACGAGAGACTCGAATCTCTCAATAAGTGGTGTCTCGATAGACATGGTTAAAAAGTTCAACATATTTCAGAGATCCCAGTCTTTCCACGAGGGACTCGAGTCTCTCAATTTTTCAGTTTTATTCGTTCGGTCTCTTTGTGAGAGACTCGAATCTCTGAATTAACAATTTTATCGTTCGAGTCTCTCATACAGAGACTGTGAGAGATCCATAAAAACACTTAGGCAATAACTGAGAGACTGTGAAAGACTATGAGAGACGCTGAAAGACTCTTGAGAGACTGAACAGAGACTGAAAATTTTTGTCCAGGGTATATTAATGAAGAATTTTCCGAATGTAGTTACAATTGTTATCCTCATATCAAAGTAAAGTTTAAACAAAGGCGTATATAAGAAATACCTTAACGCAAACAACAGTTACTGAAATAAGTAAGTAAACTGCAAGAACAATTTTTGTAACAGTGACACTAATTAAAAAAAAAAGTAAGTATTTAGTGTCTTAAATAAATCCCTGAATGTTACACCACTGAACAATATATACCAGAAAGAGTTATCACAAAAGCAGACCAACAATCGCCCGTTTTATAGCCCTCAAAATTTGTTCTAAAGCAAATACTGAATACAAAATGAATGAGCATATTGTGTTAAGTCTAATGCAATTTAAGAGAATATAAAAAAAAGTATTTTTCAAGACAGAATCCAAATCAAATATCAAAAAAACTATGTATTTATTGATTATCCAAATAGAAGCAGTGCAACACCATCTGGTGGGAATTTGCTGTTACTGAAGTATTTCAGGCGTAAGATAGGGCGTTGCTAAAGTATTTCTACTTGTCTAACTGAGTCGACAACATACAGTGCGTAATAGTCACATAAACCAATTAATAAGAACGTTCATTCCAGGAACTTAAACGCAAGCGAATTTTAATACAATAAAATCAACCTCTCAATAAAAATGTGCCCATTATAACTAACTCATTTGATTTACATTTGATGTTCAATATCATCATCGTAAGGTCGTCAATCCTAGGACTGGTTGGACCTGCATCTCCACTCTTTTTCTCATTTCCCTAAAACTAGATCAGCCCACATTCTTAGCTATTTGTGAACAGTAATCTAATCTAGGTCTACCTCTACTCCTCTAAACCGCTCTTTCTGCTTGTAATATGTCCCTGACTAGCCCTTCATGCCTGAGAAGGTGTCCTACCAACCTATCTCGCCTATTTCTTATTGACTTCCATAGAGTATTCGGTTCTCCTATTGTTTCTAATACCTCTTCATTTCTAAAATTCTCTATCTATGATATCCTCAATATTCGCCTGTAACATCACATTTCGAACGCTTCTAATCTTTTTTTTCCACCGCGCCCACCGTCCATGTTTCGCATCCGTACAGCGCCGAGCTCTAAACATACACCTTTAATAATTGTTTTCGAACTACTGCATTAACCATTTACGAGATTAGAAGTGACTTCTTTTTGTTGATGGCGGCTCGACCCTACGCTATCCTCTGCTTTATATCCCTACTACTCCTTCCGTCCTGACTTATCTGACTACCTAGATACCGAAAATCAGCTACTTCTTCTAATTTTTTGTCTCCTATCGTTATATTCGCTCTTTCCCTACTTTTCCTTCCCTTGCATACACGTATTTTTGGTTTACTTTTATTTATCTTCATATACAATGCTCCTTTGTCAATACCGCTTCCATTTTAATTAAATTTATCTCTAACTCCTCCTTGCTAGATGCTAACACTGCTATATTATTTGCAAATCTAAGCATGCAAATATTGTATCCCTGTATATCTATCCCTACAGTTGTCCTGTCTTTAATGATGCTGATCGCGTCTTCGACATATAGATTAAAAAGTAGCGGGGACAGTGCGCATCCTTGTCTGACACTCCCCTAATATTTACTTGTCTAATGTTCAACATACTTTTCCATATTCACAAATTTCCCGATATATTTATAAATTAGTATTGCACACACAGACAATAATAATTTGGTTATTATGTGATTCCCACTAACAAAAATTAAAAATAAATGTGTGGTTTTCGGGACCCGGAAGCCTTATTGTACAAACATGTATATATATATACTTCTAATTAGTAGAAAAGTGAAAATATTGTTTCAATGAATAGTAATTAAATATGTGATTAAAGGTTGTAAATTATGCAATAACTGATATATTAGGTCTAATTAATCTTTGCAAAGTGACGGTATGCAGAGATTCTGTTAGTTGAGTGATGCTTCGGTTATAGGTATGGGACGGGCAGCTGTTGATTGCTCTATACACTAATTTCTATGGAAATTAAACGCTTTTGATCAATCAGCAAGTTGCTATCTGAGGGATTAAATCAACCGAGTGTCGATAAACCGACCCTAAAGAGGAATTAACTGAAGGATTAGTAATTTATGCCACTAATTGGGCGATTAACTTTGTAAAGTTTTTGAAAATGTAATTAACCATTGAACCGTTTCTTTATAATGGTATTAAAATAGAATAATTGGCGACGATAGAACTCCTTCGAAGAAGAAAGCCAAATTTAGATTAAGTTTAGTTTACGAGGTATAGTAATTATAAGTAATAAATTTAATAATTACATATATAAGTTTTCAAAACCTGACAATTTTTCAAATATTTTGATAATGTCCTTAACGAAAAATATTTACATTAGCGTATCAACGGCGTTACATTAAAATTGTTTCAATCTTCCAATGAACAGATTTAATATAGGTCTTCTAAAAGAAGAAAATTTAAGAAAGAATACATGCAAAAGAATCGTAAAAGATGATATCAGTACCCTAATTGCCTAAATGGGTACAAAATCATTGGATTGTAAATGATGTGATAACATAATATAACACAAACTAGTGAAAAAGTATATGGCTTACCTGTGAACTATTCCAATGCTATGCATATGAGCCACGGCAGACATCAGTTGCCTGGCAAACACTTTGGTTTGTTTCTCCTCCAATTTTCCATTTTTTTGGTTTTTGATGAAAGTGCAAAGGTCTCCGCCTCCAGCAAGTTCACTTACAATATAATACACGTTTCCGTTCTGAAACAAAAACACAAAATAATTGATCATATTTTCCGTGACGCTACTTTACTCATAATGACATCCTGTGTCTCAATTATTACACATTTCTTTTGGTCTGTCCATGATCGGGTAAAATCACGTTAGATAATATGAAATGAAGAATTTAGAAGAAGAAGTGTTATTATGTAATTCAATTCAGTAGTGTGTAATTTATTTTATTACTTATTCACTTTTAGTAATGTCTTTTGTTTATTTCTTTTATCTGATAAGTAATGTGATGATGGTTTAGGAGAAATAGAGGAATGAGGGAGGTCATTTTAGCTTTATGCGCAGCAGTAGAGAAAACGACAAAAAAAGGAAAGAGCTCGTTCATAAGATTCGTAGATTTAGGAAAAGCTTTTGACTATGTTAAATTGGACAAGATGTTAAATATACCTACTTAAAAAATGTAGGGATGAGATACAGAGATAGAAGAGTTATACATAGTTTGGATAAAAAATAACACAGCAGTATTAACATTTAGAAAGGAGGAATAAGAGATAGCCTTAAATAAATGGAAACGCTACTGACAAAACAGTATTGTACGAAAATAAATAAAAATAAAACAAAAATACTGGAATGCAAAGGAAGAAAAAGTAGGGAAAGAGCGAATGTAAAGATAAGAGGCGAAAGATTAGAAGAACTGGCTAATTTTAGGTATCTAGGAAGTCAGATAAGTCAGGACGGAAGGAGTAGTAGGGATATACAGTAGAGGATAGCGCAGGGTCGAGTCGCCTTCAATAAAAAGAAATCACTTCTATACTCGCGAACAGTTAATTTAGAAATTTGAAAAAGATTGTTAAAGGTGTATGTTTGGAGCTCGGCGCTGTACGGATGCGAAACATGGACGGTGGGCGCGGTGGAAAAGAAAAGATTACAAGCGTTCGAAATGTAGTGTTACAGGCGAACGATGAGGAGACCGTGGATAGAGAAAGTTATAAATGAAGAGGTATTAGAAATAATAGGAGAACAGAGGACTCCATGGAAGTCAATGAGAAATAGGCGAGATATGTTGGTAGGATACCTTTTTAGACACGAAGTAGCTAGTTAGAGACATATTAAAACCAGTAACAAAAGTATTAATTTTAGGCAAATGCGATTAGATCAGAATAGAAAAAGTGGAGGTGTGTGTCCAAGGAGTCTTAGGGCTAACGACCTTGTAATGATGATGATGAAGTTATGATAGGGTAAACAACTAAAAACAGGTAAAAAGCCACGTTTTTGATTACGCCTACATAAGATTCATTCTAAAGCGATCCATATTTTTCTACTTTTCCTAATATTTTCAGTTATTGTAGAAAGATATGACACCGCTACCATAAAAGAAAGCTTTTATCTAATTTAGTCTTCTTTCTATCACTTCAAATAAGCGACTTTCTCCATGTTTACACTCTCTTCGTACTTTTTCTGCATCAACGGACACCATTCTCGCGATCTCGATATATTTCGCAACACAATATTTCTTAATTATTTGTAGCAAAGACGTCTCCGGAAAAAATAAACCCGTCACGTCGAAAGTCCAGCAATTTATCTTCGAATTTCTGTTCACTCCTCCGACTTTCTTATTTTTTTTTGCGACCGGCTCAGACATCCCCTAAGCCGATCCTACACATCGATATTAGGGATGTCACTCTCCATGTCTCTGATACGACAAAGTTGCGCGGAATTCTAGGTTCTGTTGGGTCACGGACACAAGGGACTGAAAAATCGAAATTAAAACACATATTACCACGCGTTGGAAATGATAGAAGGAACGAGAACAGGAGAGAGAAGCGCACTCTGCAGATGAGTTCCTAACCCTCATCACGATTCCCAATGGAATAAGAGTTTTCGTGCATTCTCTGTGACATTCGAACTTTGCCTGCGGGAGAGATTGATTAATGTTTTCTTGCAGCAAGGAACAGCTTTCAACGATGTCACGCAGATTTAAAAAATTGCCCTTCTTCTTCCCATACTATATTATCATTCATGACTTATGGCGAAACGAAAACCACAAAAAACGAATCTGTCGAAATAGTCTAACTGATTTTTAAGTTAGGCCAACGTATTTAACAGGCAAAATTCGAAATAAATTCTAAGATTAAAGTCCAAATAAGTAATCATAACCTAATCTTCAAAAGCTGCATAAGATGAAACTGTCAATAATTATAAAAAAATATACATTAAAGTAAATTTGGGTGGCCTATAATTAATGTTACTAAGAATTGAATTAAATATACAGTAGAACCTCTTTAAGTCGAACCTCGATAAACCGATAAAAACCTTCAAAACTCGAAGAAATGTTTTGTTCCCTTCCCTTCAAGCCCCAAAACCTCCGTTACTCGAAATATCAACCCTCTGTAAGCCGAAATAACCAATGAGTACCTGCAAGTCATTTTGGTACATATTTTCCCTTTATAACTCGAAAATTTAAATTGGTCCTCTGAATCTTGAACATAGCAATGTTCTATTTTACAACCTTTACAACTCGATAATTTCAAACTTCTCCTCTCCTCTCTAACTCAAAATTAGTAAGAATAACTCTTAACCTCTACAAGTCGAATTAAAATCCGCCTAAGTCACAATCCTCTATAAGTCAAAAATATTACAACTCGAATTTTTTGACATTACCAGCGGATGTATTTCGGCTACTTCTAATGTAAGTATTGTCAACGCGAGAGAATGAAAACCATTTTCGGATTTTTCCTTTAGTTTTTAGATTAACGAGAGGGACTTTGCAATACCAAATCTCTATAGATGGCGTCTATATATTACTCTGTCTGTAAGTATGTACCCTGCAGATTTTGATGAGTGATAAGCTTAAATTGGTTATGGAATAACAGGGTCATGACCATTTTGAGCCACGAAGCGGTAAAAGGTTAAAAAGAAAAAAGAAATAAATTCTGACATTATTGTGAAACAAGTAGAAATTAGGTAGTTGTCTGTTATATAAAAAGCCCTTTCGTTCGTTGTGTTTTTTCTTTATTACGAAAGGAATAAAACTTTGTACATGACACCGTTAGGTCCTTTTCTGTTGTCACTTGAGTGTTAGGTTCGTCGTTACTGCCAAAAAAACAGGCAGCAGTTCCCACTTCACTTGCTATTTATTGCAGGCTTCATTCATTCGAGTCGGTAAGCGTTTTAGGTTTTACGATTCGTTATAAAGGAGTGTTTCTGTGGAGGCTGTGGCGCAGCGGATCGTAAAATTTACGCCTTTCGCATCGTGCGGGGGCAATAGGAGGGCGAATTTTTGCGCGATAACTTGGAAATTTATCCGCACTTTGCGACTACTCAATTAGGAAAAGGATCGCGAATTCCTCCCCAAACAATTTGAATAATTAAACGGTTTAAGGCTTATAGAGGAACGCCACGGGAAAGGTGGCAACCGTTAAAAATGTATTTCGATGAAACTTGGAAACTAACTTTCATAATATAATATCTACGATACTCTACGTAGAAAAGGTGGTAACGGATACTTCGAAATTTGGATTTTAAATTAATTTCCTGTCTAAAACGGTCTTATTGATTCGTTTTCGTTTCAGTTGTCCAAAAGTTTCTCAACCGTCGAGAATTTTAAATAGATTAAAGCAAGGAAATTAATTTGAAACGGAGACTGAATGAATTCTTAATTACCATTCAACGTCTTCATCGGAATACGTACCAATCTATTCGTTAAAAACTATTGGGAAATAAAAGGTAACTAAATGCAAAATTAATATAAAAACATCATTTTAAGACTACGACTTTTCTAAACGATTTTTAATTTTCTCCTATTCTACAATTTTCTTAAAAAACATAGATTACCAAAACATTACACACAAAATTTATAAACCCAATTTAGGTATTGACATCACATACCATTTATCTATTAAAATTACCCTCAACCTTAAGACGTCAGCTATATTTAGTTTATCAAAAACTAATCGAAATTTTTTTCCAAACAACATAATAATCAACTGATAATAATATACTAGGTATGTCTGAAAAATTAAGGAAAAAGAAGGTACATGAAAAAGAAATAGAATGGACCATCTCGCACATACATAAACATGAAGATAATGACCTTACAAAAGCCTCAACTGCTCCGGCAATTCGCGTGATGTCGCCAGTACTTACATTCTCATTGTAATGTCTACATGTGATAACCATGTCCGCATATTCTTCGTGATATAGACTTAACCTTTTTTTGTATTTTGTGGTAATAGCAGTAACTTTGCCAATCGAATAATACCTACGAAGTACAGGTTACTACAAATAATCGTCACACATGCAATTGACCGGTCTGTGTACCAGCGGCTGCGAAGGTCACGAGTAGGTATGAGTGTTTCGTTACTTGACGCTTGCGATAACGGAGGCTGTCAAACTTGCAACTGTTTTGAATCATTGATGGCTCGTTAATTGGGGTACTTTTTGTGTACAGCTATTAAAAAGCGAATAATAACTGAATACGTGACATTTTATCACAATCGATTCTTCATTAGTAGTTTCAGGAGACTTTCTTTTAGCTCTCGCCTGATGTAAGTATGTAATACATTTATCCGTGTGAATTTTTATTTAATATTTTTAAGATATTAGCGATGCAGGTGTATTTACAGTAAAACACAACATAAATTATAAGTTTTTTTTTATCAACCTTTCTCACTAATTATTCTGTTAAGTTGCCGACGTGCATTCAGTTTAAGCGAGTCTATCACTAGATAAATACGTGTAATTCAATGGAAGTCTGTCTATTCACTTATTATGTTGGTAATTCAATTTTAGTAGCTCATATATGTATGCATGTGTGCCGCCACACAATACAAATGGATGCTCAATCATTGAGATTGATTCTGAAACTGGCAGGAATCCGACACGCCTATCAGTTAATAAGTTACACCATTTATTGTTAAGAGGAACACAACAGAAATTATCAGGGTATGTATTGCTTACACTCAATTATGTCTGACACAATGCAAAGCAGTTCGTTGTTCAGAACCCTCAGGATGTTATACGATAGCAAGACCTGCAGACGAAGCTATTCCATGTGACGTAATTAACAAATCGGTACAACACTACAGGGTGTCCACATGAAAAAACAACAAACGAATACATATTAGATACATTATGATAACCAAAGAACCTATAATAAATTAACGTTATTGGCAATTATGTCTTTCTTGGTTTTCTGTTTCTAAGTATTGAATTGCAAATTCTGCATCGAAAATAATGGTCTCAATTGATTTGTCTGTGTTTGTGTTCTTAAGGTTAGGCTTTAGTTCCTTTTTCAAAAGATCAGTCTCTTCTTGTGTAAATTCTGTTAGTTAGGTTATCTAATATCTTCTAGAAAGTATGTGTCTTATTGCAGTTTTTTGGGAAAATAGTTTATCTATTTTTTTGGCTTATATTTCGTATTTCTTTTTTATTTCTTCCTTGGTGGTTTGAATCAATAATCATAACTGATAAAACAGAACACATAATGAAAACAGAAGAATTCATTGAAAACAACCATTGCAAAACACTACATAACAAGATCCAACAAACAAATTTCAAATAGAGATTAAACAGGCAATCAAAAAAATCTCCAGATATTACACCACCCAACGAAGCAAATAGAAATCCACAAATGAACCCATCTGTTCCAAAACCTTAGAAGCCTGCCAAAACCACACAAAGAAAATAAGCTAATCTGACCGTCGTAAACTACAAAAGTGCTTGAGTATACAAAATTTCTAAAACATTAGCAAACATCCTAAAGCAAGGAATAGAACTGAAATACATTCATGCAATAAAGAGAAGAAACGAACTACCAGAAAGACTAAATAATATTAATATAACAAATAATATAAATATAGTGTCATTTGATATCATAAACCTACACATTAATATACCTATTCAAGAAACTATTCAAAAAATAGAAATCAATTTTGGTGGAATAAATACCAAACAATTAATAAGAATACTTGGAACAATTCTAAATCAAAATTACTTCAGATTCAACAACTCATACTATAAACAAAACAAAGGATTAGTAATGGGAAGTCCCTTAGGAATAATGTCAGAATTATACCTGCAAACACTCGATGAAGAAATAGTCAAATAAATAAACAATAAATATAAAATATTAGCATGGATCTCATATGTGGACGACATATGCGTTAATACTACGGCAATAACATATTACAAATTATTAATTATTATACTGAAAATGTCAAATTCACTTAATTTTCATGAAGCAACAATCATCATCATCATAAGGTCGTCAGTCCTAAGACTGGTAGGACACGCAGCTCCACTCTTTCCTATTCTGAGCTTATTTTCGCATTTCCTTAAAACTAGAACATCCCGCATCCTTAATTATTCTAATTATTTGCGAACAGTAATTTAATCTCGGTCTATCTCTACTACTCCTATTTCTGCCTCTAATACATGTATGTCTCTGACTGACTTCTTGCTTGAGGAGGTGTCCTACCAACCTATCTCGCCTATTTCTTATTGACTTCGGTGGAGTCCTCTGTTCTCTTATTCCTTCTAATGACTCTTCATTTCTAACCTTCTATATCCACGGTACCCTCATCATTCGCCTGTAACACCACATTTCGAACGCTTCTAACCTTGTCTTTTTCGCCGCACCCACCGTTCATGTTTCGCACCCGTACAGCCCCGCGCTCCAAACATACTCCTTTAACAATCTTTTTCAAATTTCTAAATTAATCGTTTGCGAGCATAGAAGTGACAACAATATGTAGAATCAATTGCTTATATTATTTACATCTTTTAGAGTTTGTAACATATTGTGTTCCGAAGTGAATTAGTGCCTTGAGGTTTTCTAAAGAATGAAGAAGTAAAGTAGTTATGCGCCCCCGTACCCCTTAAGCCGTCACTAGTGCAGACTTACCTGCATTGTTTGGAAAAGTGCTGCTATACAAGGGTGCTGAAGCTGGGACATAATCCGAGCTTCTCTGTACAAGTTCTTAACAACATACTCTTCTTTAATTTGCGAAACGTCCATAATTTTAATTGCTACCTGCAACAAAGTAACATCCGAGTCAGTTTTTTATCCTTGCATCATTGTGGTAGACTTTTCTAGTAAGAAGGCGTCTGGGGCTTAGTAGCAAAAAGGCGGTTATTTAGTAATTACACATAATGAATTGTCATTCATATAATTAATAAATTCAACTCGACTAATTGTAAGAACAGACCTGTAACAAATTATAACCGAATCCGTGGTGCAGCAGTTATCCTTAATTATTTGTCGAACATTCACAGATAAAGATGGACAATATGACAACCATCAACTTATTATTTTTAATTTCATGTCATAAATTTAATTTAAGATTGATTTTGTGTATAAGTTTTAACCGAAATGTCTAACAAATATTAAATTCTTGGATGATTATACAATTTCAATGTCTCCGTGTAATATAATTAACTAAATAATCTACCTTCATAAAATCTTGGACAGAAAGGCGAAACGTCGCTAGAGATTACGTAATAAATAAAGGCTGCTTCTTACTGAAGGTATATTTATTTAATCTAGTCAGATATTGCGAACTTTGCTTGATTCTGCTCCGATTCCATACCGTTTCAAAGACACACTAACAGAATTTACTTCAAGAATTTAATGAGAATTTAAATTGACTTTGTAAATAAATTAGTACGTATGAGTTAACTAAATGTTGTTGTACGTTGTACTTGTGCCAACAATTAAATTAAAAGCTCAGGTATATCGTTTATATGATTGGAGAGTATTATAATCATTTTCCATCGAATAAGTGAACACGTATGAATAATTATTGGCGATAAATATTTAACGATTATTCAGCATAACACGTAAACTAATGCCATAAATTGAGCTCGATTGGCACTAACACCTCAAAATCAATTGTAGCTAACGTAGAGGGAGGATACTCATTATGAATTAACGATTTTCTATCAATAATGGTAGGTAGTGGTAATACTAAATAAAGTTCAAGGCAATTATGTGTTGGAAGGTTTTTATTTATAAAGAACCAACACCGACGTTTTGCCTCTGTTTGGGAGTCTTTTTCAAGGCTGCAATGTTATCATAGTAATGTAGGATATTTTATATTGAATGTACACTTACTAGGTTCTTTAGTTATGTATGAAAAGGTTCCACATAGTTCGGTGCTTGTAAGTGGTGCATAATATCAAAATAAATATTGATTAGCACAATTATATATAAAATAATAAACAACTAAACAATTACAAACTAACACTGACTTAGAGACAACACGAATATAAATAAAATAATCAGTTAAAGTACAATTAAAAACCACGGGGTACAATAAAGAGAATACTCTAATAACATTAAGGATAAAAAGTTGTATCATAAAAAACAAAGAACCTTTTCTTACATAACTGAAGAACCTAGTAAGTGTACATTCAATACAAAATGTTATAATATTGTAGCCTTGGAAAAACCTCCCAAATAGAGGCGAAACGTCGGTGTCGATTCTTCATAAATAAAAACCTTCCAACTCTTAATTATCTCGAACTTTATTTAATATTTATTATCCAAAGTAATTGATGAAATGGAGAATAGGTAGTGGTAACATCCATAGAAAAGTTTATTAGACAGTCTGTAATGAAAAATCTAAAAATGAAAAAGCATAAAAAGTATAGTTCGAAGTGTCATTTTGTGGAAGTATCTACCGATAGAATTTAACCATTTTAATGAACGTTAAGTAATTAGATATATACAATAATAAATTGTCATTAGAAGAAGTTCTCTATATACCAAAGGTTTAATAATTTCAGGAAATAGCCATTTATTATTAATGTTTCCATTAATTTTTCCCTTTTTTTTTAATTGAAGTATATAATATAATCAAAGCCAGTATTTGTTGTTAATTAATTTTTAATGAAAATTAATTTAAAGTATAATTTTAGTAAGGTATCTGTGGATTTGTCTAACCGTTGCCGCCAATATAATGGAATATGCTAAACCGAGGGGAGTAACTTGATAGATTTATACAACCCATTTGCTGCGGTAGCGTCGTCAGCACCCCTAGATTTATATACAACGTGCAGTCCAATAATCAGACACCGGTGGTTATGGCACGGCGCCACTGATGGCAACCATAGGGGATACCACAGCATCTCCATATACACTCACACTTCGCGTGATTGATTGTCAATGATTCTTTGAACACAGGATCTTTATTCAACCCTATCAAATCACCCCAGTTGAATCATCACGTTTGTTGTTTGTGGTTTATTAATATTTTATGGAATTCAATTTATTAATTGATACAATAATGAAATTGTTGTTGAACTTACAAAGCGAAAGGAGTTAAGGATGAACAAATAAAAAAAAATAAGTCCATACAGTCCATTAAATAATAAAACTACTAAATATTAGCGGAATTAACGAAAGTGTCATGGAAACAGAAGTAAATAGTAAATTGTTGCGGAAGTGAAAACAGAAACGGATACGGAAGCGGAAGTGTAATGATTTTAGGTGTTTGGTGGTCGTGCGCCCTTTTTGGCGAATGTTTTGCTATAAATTTTGCATTTAACACTTGACTTGCATCGATAATAACAACAAAATAATCCCACATCGAACTTCCCTTTGACTTTAAAATTGCACTTTTAACTTAAAATTTACACCACAGAGCAAACAGTATACAAAATAAACAATCGTTATAACTGTATTAATATTTTCAAAATAAAATTATTAGGAGAATTGGCTAAGGGTGAGCTGAAAATCTTGGACGTTTTTAGGTTAGTAGGTAGGAAACTAATAAGAGAATAAAAGTTAATAATAAACATTAACGCTAATACTTCACAAACATAAACGGCTGATAATAATATATGTTCACAATGTTGCAGAGAGGTCACTGAAAGCTGACGCAAGTACCTGCACAAACTAGAGCTTTGCAACGAGCAATTAAGTTGTGTTTTGAAAATGACCGAATTCAGTCAACAGATAAAAGTACTTAATAAATTTTTACGACTCCTTTTATTGTTGATAATGATGAGAAATAAGATTTTGTTATGTTCCGATAAGCTTCCGTTATAAAAATGCAGAACAAGATGCGGATGTGAAAATGTATGCGGAACTTCCGCAATTGCGCAAGCGGAAGCAGAAGTCTGTTGTACTTTGTTATTACCTGAAAAGTTCTATAGCTTTTTTAACATCCTTTGAATTTTAATTTGTAGAGCATTCGCTGTATTATTTTTCATGATTAAATATAAATCATTGAAAAAATCTTTATTATTTAATGTGAACTATGCCCTCATTTGTTTCTGTAACCAGTTTTATATGTCCATGTTTTTTATTATCAATATTTTTTGCGGTTTACGATTCGTTTTATGATATTTCAAAGGTACTCGTGATCACGTAATTCTAAACTTTCTGACGGTAGTGTAACTCTTTTATATTCGAAAGTGGATAATAATAGAAAGGTAAAACGTACCGTGATATTACTTTATTCAGCTGGAATAACAGTGGGTTTGGAACAAAAAAAAAAAAAAGAAATACCCCGCAGTCGATACGGACGGTGCGCGGCGTTCAATTTTTAAATAGAATAACGACGAAGAGTAACAGCCGCCCTCGCATAATGGCCATCGCTGCATTTCAGTCAATTGATTTTGAATAAACTCCAACAACGAATGAACTCCATAATACCCGTCGATGCGGTTGCCTTTTTTCATCGACGATTCTAGTGTATGGTAGATGGGCATTATTCATGCAGATAGACGTCTGATATGAAGGGTTGAAATGTCCAGCGATTGTGAAAAGGGCACTTCTCCATTAACCATTTTCTACCCATCCTTCTTCTCTTTCGCTCTTAATATACATATGTGGAAGATATCAAATAAATGAAAGTGAAAATTAGATTAAAAATATGCTCATGAAAATTGCCTGTTATTGCGAGGAAGATTGTTTCACAAAAAGTTATGGGCAGTATATCGCCATCTACCGGTATTCACAGCATTTTAAAAGAATGACAAAGACTTTATTAATTATAAGGTGCCTATCGTCAGACAATTGGTTTCTGATTAGCAAGACCATAATAGATTTACCGTTCTTTTTTAAAACAGTTAAACCAGAACAACCCATATCCTTAACTATTTGCGAACAGTAATCTAATCTAGGTCTACCTCTACCCCTTCTAATTTCCGTTTCTGTCTCTAACATGTCTCTTGACCAGACTTCCATCTGAGAAGGAGTCCTATTGACTTATCTCGCCTATTTTTTATTGACTTTCATATAGTTCTCTGTTCTCCTATTCTTTTAATACCTCTTTATTTCTAACCTTCTCTATCTACGGTATCCTCATCATTCGCTTGTAACACCACATTTCGAACGCTTCTAACCTTTTCTTTTCCGCCGCGCCCAGTGTCCATGTTTTGCACCCGTACAGTGCCGTGCCCCAAATATACACCTTTAACAACCTTTTTTGAATTTCTAAATTAACCGTTCGCGAGCATAAAAGCAACCTTTACTAAAATACCAATAATAAGATAAGAGAATTTACCTATTGTAGAAACTGAATCTGTTTCTATGTTTCATTACAGCATTAGGTATAATGAAACTTCCGTACTTCTACCATACATTTTTAAACATAACACTTTTTAATCCTCTGAACTTCTCACGAAATTGTACGTAGCAATCCTTAATATTTTGGATTAAAAGGAACTTAAGCATATTGAGAATTAGGAAAGCGGAAAGATCTTAGTTGCGATACAGAAAGCTCACTACAGAAACGTTTTTTCATGTCTTTAACTTTAATGTTAATTAAATTTTTAATTATAGGATTTATAGAGTTTAAAATGGAAACATAAATCTGTAATTATTCAGTTTAGGATATCACTACGATTAATAAGTCATTTAATTGCTATTGATCTTTTGGAGTTCGGGTCGCGTGAGCTTCATTTTGTGCCGATGTTTCGTAAGCTTTACAGTTCATTTCTTTAGTACAATCCATATACTGCGACTGAAATTTAAGAATCTGTGCGCACCACATCAATATTTTTACGTAAATAGAAATAAAACAG